AAATCCTAAAGAATTTATTAAAAACTATTAAAACTAATAAATTCAGTAGGGTTGCTTGATATAAGATAAATATACAAAATCAATATATTTATATACACTAGCAATAAACAATCTGAAAATGAATAAAAATTTCACTTATAATCGCATCAAAAAAATTTAGGAATAAATTTGGAAAAGTAGTGCAAAACTTGATCCCTAAAAATTGTATAACATTATTGAAAGACGTGAAAGAATACCCAAATAAATGGAAATATATGTCATGTTCATTGATTGGAAGACTGGATGTTGTTAACATAGCATATTCCCCAAATTGATTTAATGCAATTTATATCAAAATCCCAGCTACTTTCTCTTCTTTTCTTTTCCTTTTCCTCTTCCTCTTCCTCTTTCTTTCTTTCTTTCCTTCTTTCTTTCTTTTTCTTTCTTTCTTTCTTTCTTTTTCTTTCTTTCTTTCTCTCTCTCTTTCTTTTCTTCTTTCTCTCTCTCCCTCTTTCTTTTCTTTCTCTCTCCCTTCCTTCTTTTCTTTTCCCTTTTCTTTCTCTGTCTCTCTCTTCCCTCCCTCCCTCCCTCCCTCCCTCCCTCCCTTCCTTCCTTCCTTCCTTCCTTCCTTCCTTCCTTCCTTCCTTCCATTCCTTTCTCTCTCTCTCTCTTCCTTTCTTTTTGACAGTCTTGCTCTGTTGCCCAAGCTGGAGTGCAGTGGCGCAATCTCAGCTCACTGCAACCTCTGCCTCCCAGGTTCAAATGATTCTTCTGCCTCAGCCTCCGGAGTAGCTGGGACTACAGGCGTGTGCCACCATGCCTGACTAATTTTTTGTATTTTTAGTAGAACGGGTTTCACTGTATTGGTCAGGCTGCTCCTGGATCCTGACCTCGTGGTCTGCCACCTTGGCCTCCTCAACAGTGCTTGAATTGCAGGCATCGAGCCACCTCGCCTGACCGGCTGGCTTTCTTTTTCTTTTTCTTTCCTTCCTTCCCTCTCTCCTCCCTCCCTCCTTCCCCCTCCCTTCCTCGCCTCCCTTCCTTCTCTCCTCTCTCTCTTTTCTTTCTCTCCTTCCTTCTTTCCTTCTCTCTCTCTTTTTTCTTTTCTTTGACAAGGTCTTGCCTGTGGCACCCAGGCTGGGTGCAGTTGGCACCATCTTGTTCACTGCAACCTCCATCTCCCAGATTCAATGTTTCTCCTGCCTCAACCTCCCGAGTAGCTGGATTACAGTGCCTGCCACCATGCCTGGCTAATTTTTGATTTTCAGTAGAGATGGGGTTTTGCCATGTTGGCAAGCTGTCTTGAACTCTGACCTCAGGTGATCCACTCGCCTCAGCCTCCCAAAGTGCTAGTTACAGGTATGAGCCACTGCCTGCCTGCCGCTGCCTGCCTGCCTGCTTCCTCCTTCCCTCCTTCCCTCCTCCCTCTCTCTCCTTCTTCCTTCCTTCCTTCCTTCCTTCCTTCCTTCCTTCCTTCCTTCCTTCCTTCCTTCCTTCTTTCCTTCCTTCTTTTTTGGAGATACTAGGATCTAGTTAGTAAGAAAAAAATCTTGAGAAAGAACAGAGTTGAAGGACTTACAATTCCCAAGTTCAAAACTGAATATGAAGTTAAGTAATGAAGACAATGTGATACTGGCATAAAGAAAGACGTATAAATAAATGGAATAGAATTTAGAGTTAAAAAATAAATTCTCATGTTTATGATCAATTGATTTTTGACAAGAATGCTGAGACAATCAAATGGGGAGAAATAATATATTTTTAAAAAAATGTCCTGCTGGGACAATAGGGATAACTTTATCTGTATTAGAAGAATGAAGTTAGACTCCTACTTCATAACACACACACAAAAATAACTCCAAATGGATCATAGACCTAAATGTAAGAGCTAAAATTGTAAGACTTTTAGAAGAAAATAAAAAATAAGTGCAAAATATTTGTGACCTTAGACAGTGTATCTTAGATATGACAGCAAAAACAAGCTACAAAAGATAAAAACAGATAAATTGGACTTTGTCAAAATTAAAAACTTTTGGAGTGCAAAGGATACCATCAAGAAAGTGAAAAGATAACCTTAGAGAAAATACTTGCAAATCATGTATCTGATAAGGGACTAGTGCCCAGAATATATAAAGAACTCTTCCAACTTGATAAAAAAGATAAATAACTGAATTAAAATATGGGTAAAGGATCTAAATAAACATTTCTTCAAAGAAGATGTACAAATGGCTAATAAGTATATTAAATGGTGCTAAACATCATTAGCTATCAGGGAAATGCATATCAAAACTATAATGGGATCCCACTTTACACTTGCCAGGATAACTATAGATAATAGCAATGGTTGGCTGGGATGTGGACAAACTGGGACTCTTACACATTGCTGGATAGAATGTAGAAAGCTGGCCAGGCACGGTGGCTCACGCCTGTAATCCCAGCACTTTGGGAGGCTGAGGCAGGTGGATCATGAGGTCAGGAGTTTGAGACCAGCCTAGCCAACATGGTGGAACCCCGTCTCTACTAACAATACAAAAATTAGTAGGGCATGGTGACAGGTGCCTGTAATCCCAGCTACTTGGGAGGCTGAGGCAGGAGAATCGCTTGAACCTGAGAGGTGGAGGTTGCAGTGAGCAGAGATCACGCCATTGCACTCCAGTCTGGGCAACAAGAGCAAAACTCCAAATTCCGTTTAAAAAAAAAAAAAAAAAAAAGTAGAACGCTGCAGTCACTTTGGAGAACAGTCTGGCAGTTCCTCAAAAATTAAGTGTAGAGTTACCATATGATCAAACAGTTCCACTCCCAAGTGTATACCCAAGAGAGATAAAAACATGTTCACATAAAATCTTGTACATGAATGTTTATAGTAGCATTATTTATCATAATACAGAAGTGGAAACAACCCAAATGTCAACTTCCAAATGGATAAAGTGTGGTATAGTGATACAATGGAATGTTATTTAATAATAAAGAATAAAGTACTGATGCATGCAACAACATGGATGAACCTTGAAAATACTATGCTAAGTGAAAGAAGCCAACCACAAAATACCACATATTGTGTGATTCCGCTTAAATGACATGTCCGGAATGTCCACATTATACTTTCTATAGAGTTAGAAAGTAGATTAGTGGTTTCCTGAGGCTGGGGGAGGGAGTTGGGGGAATTGGCTGGTGACTACTGGGTAAAGAGTTTCTTTCTGGGGTGATGAAATGGTCTAAAATAGAATGTGGTGGTGGTTGCACAACTCTGAATATACCAAAAACTATTGAATGAGCACTTTAAATTGGTACATTATATGTGAATTATGTTCAATATAGTTGTGTTTAGATATCTGTAAAAATGATGGTGCAAATATTCTTTTTCACAAACCTTTTTTTTTTGGTTTATAGTTGTTTATTTGCACATCTAGTAATTTGTCCCAAGGAAAGAGTATGTAAAAGAACGTAAGCCATTTTAAGGCCTTTCATGTATGCTACAAAATTGCACTCCAGAAGGTTTATACAGTTTTGCATTTCATTAGCCTGTTTTGTTTTATCTTTGACAACCTAAATAATTTATTAGTAGTATTCGTCTGAGGATCCTCTAGATCTATCAGAGCGTCTTTCTTATAGAAGACATTCAATAAATAAATGTCCTAAGTGAGCAAAACATTTTTGGTTGATTTTTAGGTACAAATGGTTTCTTTTGATTTTAATTAAGATGCCTTTGTTTATTAGTGATATTGACATCTTTTCTTATTCTATTGGCTTTGTATAACTTTGTGAATTGTCTCTTCATGTCCTTTGCCTACTTTTCTATTGTGGTAACTATCTTTTATAAATGTTGTATAATTAGTTAAAAATATATTGTGCTGGGCATGGTGGATCATGCCTGTAATCCCAGCTCTCTGGGAGGCCAAGGTGGACGGATCGCTTGAGCCTAAGAGTTCGAGACCAGCCTGGGCAATATAGTGAGACCCCATCTCTTAAAAAAAAAACAATAAAAATATATGAAAAGATTAACTCATTGTCTATCATATGGATTATAAATATCCCCCCAAATTTGTCACTTGCTTGTTAATTTTATTTATGATGATTTAAAAATTACAATGTATTTTTTGGTGTTCAAGTCTGTTTTTGTTCCCATTGTGATATTTTCATTTGCCTATCACTTTCTTAGAGAAAAGATAAACATTGATTCATTCTTTTGTAGGTGTTTTATGATTTCATTGAAAACAAAATCTTCAATGCATCTAGTATTTATTTTGTTGTAGGATAAAAGATAACAACATAGGTTTCTCTTATAGTTCATCAGGTATCCCACTACTGTTTATTGAGTCATGTTTTCTGTTACCACTCTTACTATATACCAAAGTTTTACGTACATTCTGGTTGGTTTCTGAGCTTTCTATTGTCTTCCATTGCTTTGCTTAAAATTTAAAGTTTATTTTTCTGACTTTCCATACTTGAATATGGTCAAATAAGTCCCCCTTTATTAATCTTGTTTTATTTTAAAATGGTCATTTTCACTAATTTTCCAGTTCAGTAGTTTTATTCTCTCAGTGTAATGTGATTTATCACCCCATTGCTCACTCTATTCATCTCCCAATGCCCAACTAAAAAGCTTCAGAAGACTGAGGCTCTTGCCCTGGCCCCATCACTTTCTAGCTATGTGGGCTTAGTCTAGTATTGAACATGTCTGACTCTCACTTTTCTCCTCTGTAAGTCAGTGAGAATTATATATTTCCTATAAAGTCGTGAGGTTCAAATGGAATAATGTGTATACAGGCACTTGGTAAACAATGTGGTCATATGCAAGTGCTTTTTATGGTTTTACCTAAGGGGCCACTGAGGGCCAGAGAAGTGTCAGGACCTATGTAAGGTCACAAGTAAGTTCATGTGGAACACATCTAAAACTAGAACCCCAGCCAGTGTCCCAGGGCCCTTCCAGCTGGGCTCTGCTGCCTGCAGTCTTAGGTGCCTTCTGATTAGCCTGTGTAGTGGTCTTGGTATAAGTGTTTCTCCTGTACTGTCCCCTATAGGTTGTGGCTGGCCATACCATTTCCCTGGTTCCCCCCACGCTCCTGATTACCTGGAAGGGCCATTTGGATAGTGTGGCAGACATCCTGTATGTGGACAACTTCCAGTTGGTTATCAGCGCTGGCCAGGACCAGGACGTCAAGGCTTGGAAACTCTCCGGTGATGCCATTGGTATGGGTCCTGCTGAAGCTCAGCCATGCCCGTGGCCCTTCTTTTCTCTGTCCCTGTCTGAACATAAGCTGGTATGAACTTTGTACTCTGTGGGGAGGGACTCTCAGGCCACAGCAAATGCATTTGCTTAAATAATATTACAGTCTGCCCAATTGTCCGTTCAGCAAATGGTCGTTCCATCTATTCACCCATTCACCCAATATTATTCACCTATGTATATTTTGCAAATCATATATCTGATAAGGCATATTCCTTTCTCTTTTAAAAAATAAACTTAATTGTTGCATTGTATATATAAAAAAAACCCATACAAACTCGAAGGGTTCAGCTTGGTGAATTTTGACAAAGTAAACACATCCCCACATAGCCACCGTTCATGTCAAGAAACAATTAGGGCCAGGTGTGATGGCTCACTCCTCTAATCCCAACACTTTTTTGTCCCCTTTTCCTCCTGTGCTGTCTTCCTTTTTTTTTTTTTTTTTTTTGTAGTGCCCTGTCTCTACTAAAAATACAAAAATTAGCCAGGCATGGTGGTGCATTCCTGTAATCCCAGCTACTTGAGAGGCTGAGGCAGGAGAATCATTTGAACCTGGTAGGCAGAGGTTGCAGTGAGCCGAGATCATGCCACTGCACTCCAGCCTGGGCAGCAGAGTGAGACTCCGTCTAAAAAAAGAAAAAAAAAAAAAGAATTAAAAGTGACTTATGTACCACCATTACAGTATTACAGCATTCTGTATTTTTCTAAGTACATTTATCAGAAAGTTTTGTATTTTCATATGCTTTCGTGTTCCTGCCTAGCATTCTTTTGTTTCAACTCGAAGGGGTCCCTTTAGCATTTATTTAAAGGCAGGTCTAATGGTGATGAACTCCTCTTGTTTTTATTTATCTGGGAAAAGTTATATATTTCCTTCATTTTTAAAGGACAACTTTCCTGGATATAGTATTTTTGGATGAGTTTTTTTGTTTTTGTTATTTTTTATTTTTTATTTTTATTATTTATTTATTTATTTATTTTTTTGTGACAGAGTCTCACTGTGTCACCTAGGCTGGAATGCAGTGGTGTGATCTCGGCTTACTGCAAGCTCCACCTCCTGGATTCATGCCATTCTCCTGCCTCAGCCTCCTGACTAGCTGGGCCTACAGGCGCCCACCACCACGCCCGGCTAATTTTTTGTATTTGTAGTAGAGATGGGGTTTCACCGTGTTCGCCAGGATGGTCTCGATCTCCTGACCTCGTGATCTGCCTGCCTCAGCCTCCCAAAGTGCTGGGATTACAGCACTGCACCTGGCCGAGTTTTTGTTCTTTTTATAATGTGTCTCCTTGTGGATTACTTTGACTTTATCCTAGTTGGAATCCCTTGAGCTTCTTAAATATAGGTTTCTTTTCCTTTTTAAGATTTGAAACATTTTCAGCCATTATTTACTAAAATAAGCTTTTTGTCCCTTTCTCTCTCTCTCTCTCCTCCTTCTGGTACTACCATAATGCATATATTGTCCATTTGATGATGTCTCATAAATCCCTTAGGCTTTCTTTACTCTTTAAAATTCTTTTTTCTTTTTGCTTCTTTGACTGGATATCTTCAAGTCTGCTGATTTTTCCTTCTGCTTGATCAAGTCTACTGTAGATGACCTTTGAATTCAATTATTTTATTTTTCATCTTTGGCTCTAGAATTTTTTTTTTTTCTTTCTTCGAGATGGGGTCTTGCTCTGCCACCCAGGCTTGAGTGCAGTGGCACGAATTCAGCTCACTGAAGCCTTGACCTCCCAGCCTCAAGTGATCTTCCCACCTCAGCCTCCTGAGTAGCTGGGACTACAGGTGCATGCCATCACGCCTGGCTAATTTTTTGTATTGTTTGTAGAGACAGGGTTTCACCATGTTGCCCAGGCTGGCCTTGAATTCCTGAGCTCAAGTGATCCGCCCGCCTAAGCTTCCCAAAGTGTTGGGATTATAGTTGTGGGCCACCATGGCTGGCCTCTGTTTGGTTCTTTTCTATATTTTCTGGGTCCTCACTAGTATTCTCATTTTGTTCATGTATTGTTTCTGAGCTTGTTGAGCATTTTTATCATGGTTACTTAGAATTCTTTGTCAAATAATTCATATACCTCAATTTCTTTAGCGGCAGTAAATTTGCAATTTACATGCATAAGTTTATTTTTTTTAGGAGTCCATTATCTCTTGCTCCCTCTGGTGTCTGTTTGGAGTACTGCAAGTTCTCTAGAGCTGCTACAAGCTTCCCCCAGGCCTCTAGAATATGCTGGGTCCTTCAATAGTCTGAGAGAGGCAAGACAGAAACCAGTCTCTTGGGTACCCCTCAAAGGCTAACAAAGGATAACACTGGATATATATGCTCCAAATCTGCTTCCTCAGGGAGAAGCTGGAAGTTGGGTTATTTTCCCTACTCATTCCTCAGAGCGGCAGGAGGGACTCTGATAGTGAGTGTACGCTAGTCTAAATTGTCACCTTTGTTCTTAGTAGCCCAGTCTGGTGCCCCTTCCTGTCAGTGCTTAGATTCAGGCAAGACAGAAACTGGTTCATCATGCAGCCCTCTGAAAAGTCTGTATGTTAGATGTACATCTCAGTCTTTCCCTCCCAGGGAGAAGCTGGAAGCTGGGGGTTCCTTCCCAATCTGCTTCACTGAGCCAGGAGGAGGGATTACAAGTGAGCACCATGAATTTTCCTACTGGCTTCAGTGCAGCTGGTGTGTGTGTGTGTGTGTGTGTTTGTTTGTTTTGCATTCATCTGGGATGAATGGTCCTGGTTTCTGGTCCATGTACTGTTGTTCAGTCAGTGTCTCCATAAGGGGAAGGAGGTGCTGGATCTTCCTATTCTACCATCTTGCTGATGTCACCCACTTTTTGTATCTTTCAAAGACGTCTTTGACTATCCCCTAAATATAATATCTAGTGTTTTTTTTAGAAGCTTGATTGTTTTAAAAATCAGATTTTTGAAGTGTAATTTACATCCAGTAAAAGCACGTTTTAAAAGTATATAGTTCTATGAGGTTTCATGAATGCATAGAATTGTGTAATTGGTATCACAATCAAGATATAGACATTACCCCAAAAAGCGACCTCATGTCTCCTCATAATAAACTCTATTTCCTTCTCCTAACTCCTGGCAGCCATTGATCTGTTTTGTCTCTATAGTTTTGCCTTTTCCAGATTATCATAAATGGAAACATACACATGTAGCTGAGTGAAATTCTAACTTTCACTTAGCATAATCAATTTTAGATTCATCTGTGTCGTTGAATGTTTCAGTAGTTTGTTCTTTTTATTGCTGAGTATTATTCCACTGTATGGCTCTGTCATAGTTTGTTAATCCATTCACCAGTTATAGGACATTTGGGTCATTGTCAGTTTTGGGTGATTATGAATGAAGCTGTTTTAAACATTGTTTTCATTTCTGTTGGGTAAGTATTTAGAAGCAGAACGACTGGGTTGTATGGTTAAGTGTATTGAAACTTTACGAGAAACGACCAAACTGTTTTGCATTTCTACCTCTGCGTCTTCATCAACATTTGGTGTTTGATCTGTTATTATTTTAAATTTTAATAATCTATGATTATAGCATGATATTTCAATACTCTTCTCTCAATAATTTATAAGACAACTCTACAGAAAATCATTAATGATATAGAATACTTGAATAACACTATCAAACAATTTTACTTAATTGACATTTATAGATCACTCCATTCATAAAATAAACATTATTATTATTATTATTATTATTTTGAGACGGAGTCTCGCTCTGTCGCCAGGCTGGAGTGCAGTGGCGCAATCTCGGCTCACTGCAACCTCCGCCTCCCGGGTTCACGCGATTCTCTTGCCTCAGCCGCCTGAGTTGCTGGGACTACAGGTGAGTGCCACCACACCCAGATAAATTTTTTTTTTGGAATTTTAGTAGAGATGAGATTTCACCATGTTGGCCAGAATGGTCTCGATCTCTCGACCTCATGATCCGCCCGCCTCGGCCTCCCAAAGTGCTGGGATTACAGGCGTGAGCTACCGCGCCTGGCCAACATTATTTTTAAGTGCACACAGAACATTAATTCAAACAGACCATATTCTGGGCCACAAAACAAATCTCAATAATTTCAAAAGGATTTATGCCATACAGAGTATGTTCTCTGATCCCAATGAAACTGAATTATAAATCAAAAACAGAAATATCTTTGAAATATCCCTAAATATTTGGAAGATAAATGACACACTTCTAAATAACCCATGGGCCAAAAAAGAAATCCAGAGGGAAATTAGAAAACATTTTGAACTGAATGAAAATGAAAATATAACATTTCAAAATTTATGAGATGCCACAAAAAACAGTAGTAAGGGGGAAATTTATAACACTAAATTCCTATACTAGAAGGAAAAAAGTTCAAATCACTAGCCTCAACTTCCACATTAAGAAACTAGAAAGAGGCCTGGTGCAGTGGCTCACGACTTTGGGAGGCAGGTGGGGGGATCATTTGAACCCAGGAGTTCAAGACCAGCCTGGGCAACATAACGAGACCCCATCTCAATGAAAGAAAGAAAAGAAAGAAAGAAGGAAAGAAGAAGGAAAGAAAGAAAGAGCAAGTTGAACCCAAAGTAAATAGAAGAAAGGAAATAATAAAGATTAGAATGGAAATCGATGAAACAGAAAAGTAAAAAATAATAGGGAAAATCAATGAAGCCAGAAGCTGGTTCTTTGAAAAGATCAATTAAATTGATAAACCTCCAGCTAGACTGGGCAGGAAAAAGAGACAGAAGACACAAATTACCAGTATCAGGAATAAGTGGGATGACATCACTGCTGATTCTACAGATGTTAAAAGGATAACAATGAAATACTATAAACAACTTTATACAATAAATTTGGCAACTTATATGAAATAAACTCCTTGAAAGACACAAACTACTAAAGCTTACACAAGAAGAAGCAGATAACCCAAATATCCTTGTATCAAAGAAATTAAATTTGTAGTTTAAAACGCTCTTCACAAAGATATCT